AATAATTCAGGTTTAAAAGCGAGATTCGCAATGAATTAGGATTGTAATTTTCAGGGAAAACATAATTGTCGCTGTCATGTTTTATTTGATTTTTAGAATATAAAATAATTTTTTTGAACCACTTTGCTCAGGATAGGGATTGGCACAGGTGCAATTTGGTAAATTACAATGGTGTTACATGCTATTGGAGCATATTTCATTTCGTTATCAGATGACGGTCGAAATTTGCAGTGGTCTCTCATACTATAAGGGTATGAAGTCTATTGATTTTGAAAAAATCTGATTATTAATGAAACTTAAAAAAAATATAGAACAAAAACGGAAAACAATAAAAACTTGAAATTTTCAGGAAAAATCAAGCTCTACAATGGAACGAAGCCTATTGATTTTTAACTGTGAGCAGTATCATATAGAATGTTTAGCATTATATGTCTTCATTCTAGTTTTATTACATAAATTAGTAAAAGTAATAAATTATTTTTATATTAGTTATTTTATCTTAATGTCCTTAATTAATTTTTAAAATGTGTAGATTTTCGTTGGAAAAAATATACTGTACAACTGGATTGTCCGTATGTGGACATCAAACTACTATTTCCATCACGTTAAACTGCATAATGTCGTTCATTATTAATTTATAAATAAAATATCGTTGACTGATATATCTGCCATTCGACAGCACTGCGACGTATAAAAAAATACAGTAGGTCTCGTACCGGAAGGGTTAATTAGAAATTTGGATTTTTTTATTATGTCTAATAATTTATTAAAACTATTAAGCATTGATATGAATTTGAAATTGAGATTGTGTATTGATTGGCAATTATATAAACTTGACGAGGTTTCCATATCAAGATATTTATATCGCACGAACTTCTGTTCCATGATGATAGTCCAGTGAGAGGGTAACAGGCAAAGTGTTACCACTAGGTGGCGCTACTGGAACGTGTGGTCCGTATTAAACGTTACTTTCATGTATGTTTTTTATTTTATTGCGTTTTAAATAAATATTTAATAAAATATTGATTAAAATATATAAATGGATAAATACGGGACAATTAAAGTAAGGAATAAAAAAGAGCTAAAGGGAAGGTGAGGTAAAGTGACTGAAATTATTGAAAAAACTCATTGAGAATAATTTTATGAATGATTTATTTGTGCTAATTTCTGTAATATTTTAATAATTTCAGGCATTGATCTGTAACACTAAATGGAAAATTTATGAGCACATTATGGTGGGCACTTTCAAAGGAGCTAAATTATTTGGAAGTAAACATTTTTAAGGACTAAAATTACTATTAAACTTGCAATAAATCTTTTCTACATTCATTAATTTACATGGTGACAGAAAATGTGTGATTGTGAGTTTACCGTTTTTTTTTCTACCCATGTCGGCTTAGAAATTAGGAGTAGGGCTTATGACATATAGCCATCCAGTTAAATATGAACGTCGGTGGGCTAGAGAGGCACCTCTTGGCACGTTATCACTTCTATCAGAGGCACATTTCGCGCAAACTTTTTTTATCGACTATTTTAAAATAATAAGTTGCGTTGACAAACCGAAACAACTGCATTTTGTCTTTAGAAGATGCACAATGAGTTTAATAAAGAGTAACTATAATAGAGTTAATTGTTATAAATAAGATGGAAGTGAGAAACATCACACCCTGTAAACGAAATGTGTAGGTAATAAATAAAAAGAGCTTCAATATAAGTCTGAGCTAATGAGCATTAACAATTGATATAATAAATTAATCAGGAACATACCTACATTTCTTAAAAATATTAAATTATACTTACTAAACTATCAGTTTATCAAATGTACACATTTTTAAACCAGACACAATTTTTGATTGCTTAGAGAACAATTTTACTTCTAGATAGGTAGCCGCTATAATACAGGAAGTATTAAAAATATAACTTGTTGGTTTCTTCTTTCAGTCAAAAATTAAATATTTAAACACGCTACACACATCCTTCATAGTTGATAATTTTTAGATAAGATAAAAAAATTGTATATCACTTCAACTGTTGTAACTGTATAAACATTCTAGTTCTGTTAATTAAGAGTTAATTGATACAAAACGAAAAACGCGTGCTGTTTATTTCAGTGTTTTAATTCACTACTGATGCGTTTGATGCGGTCTGGTCTACAAAAAGTGTAAAATTTCAGTTTCTACTCGATCTATTTTTGTTGCGCTACTTTCGTCGTTAGTAATTTCTCGGTTGATGCGAGTATCATTATACAGCATGGGATAGTTATACCGGTTGTCACGTAAATAATTATTTCATTTAAGAAGCGATTTATATAAAATTTACTACAAAACTGCTAGACATAATTTCGAATTGAGTATTGTCAGTTTAGAACAATTGTACTAGATCTAGTATATTCTCTAAGAATCTGGTACTCTAGTACACTCGAAGCAAAATCTAGTTCTTTTTCTTTTTCAGCGTGGTACTATTTTACGCGTGGTAAATATATTGTTGGGATCTTCCTTCTATGTTTTGATATAGTTCCTAATAAAGCTAAGCTTTTGTTTTGCTTCTCAATGAACAATTCGAAAATCTGGTACATTTTATAGAATCTACTACATTTTTATGCAATCTGGTATATTTTTTAGACAAATGTGGTACCTTACAAAGACATATTCTGGCAACACTCTGCTATTGCAATAATAATAATAAAAGCAAGTTAATGGGAAGTAGTGTTTTAAGGCCGCCATTTCAGTGTATTTTACATGGTCAAAACAGAGGTTTACAAATATTTACAGAACTTATCTTTTACTGGATACATTTTAGTGAAACTTTGGCAGCTTACAGTAAAATGTTTAATAATTGCAATGAGACAATTTCATTTATCCTGCTAATTGTTAAATACTATTAAAAAAATATAAAAAAGTGATGCAGATGCAGTTCAAAAAACTTTACAGCATTCTACATATTTTTTTGAATAATTCTTGCCAAAATTTAACAATAAATATTGCGTACTTTTTAAACTATTACGATTTCATGTAAAATTGATAATTTTGCTGCGTCGATATTGAATTTTAGTTCAGGACAGTATATAAAAAAACGGTAAATAAAATATGTGGCTTAATTCCCAACAATTGGATATTTATTTATATTGAACATATTTTTTGTATTCTTTTATTTGAAATATTTTTTTGCATATCCAACAATCCAATAAAAAACAAAAATTGTATCCTTAAATCAACAAAAACTGCGACCGATAATTGAACCTGGATCTTCCAGACGTTTGGGATTAAAATAAAAAGTATAGATGCGTAGTAGCATATTGGCATAAAATACTGGGTCAAAACAACTTAAACATATGGACATTTAAAAAAAAAAACAACAATGATTAAAAGTCGTTTTATTTTTTATAATAATAAAATCGAGACGAGATAAAACATAAAACGAACCGAGACGAGACAAGGCTTGTCTCTTGTTTCGAAAAAATGTATCTCGAAATTTCGAGACGAAACGATATAAGGTCCTATCTATCTTCTCGTGTCAACTCTAGTTAAACGCAGTAAGAACTTTTAAATAACGTTTAAATTATAACAATTCGCAACCTAGCTTCATGCAATCCACGGCTGGCGAATATCTTGCATTCAGCAAACAAACGGCTTTAAATGTATATTTATTAATTTACACATTTCTAAAGACACACCCTATATCTCGAAAACCAAGGTTTTTCGAGACGAATGTTTATATACTTACCTTTTATTTTCAGGCAACAATTAAAGAACGCAATATCGCAAGAGTCTTGGTCTTGTGTAAGTCTTGCACCACTTGGTCTTGGTCTTGCACACGCACCGCAAGACCAAGACCAGTCTCGCTCATCACTAGTTGTTGGTTGGCATTATTTTGTTGTGTATTAACAAAGTTATTTTGAAAGTAATTACCAAACGCTTTCCCCTTCTCGGTGTTTGTCGTGTATGTGTTATGTCCGTCTTCAAGAGTGGGAAGTTGCACAAAGGGTTTTTTAAGACTTTTTGCAACTTTCCACAGCGTATTGTCTCGTGTGTTAAGTTCTGAAAGTGCCTTTTGTCATTTGTCGTTTCTGTGTTTCTTTATGTCATTTATTAATTTAGCGATGTTCATTAGCCTACTTCTGTCGATTTCCTGTCTATGGGTTTGCCATCGTTTTCTAATCGAGTTTTTTTGTTTTATTTTGTCTAGTATTTATTATGGAAGTACTTCTTTTTCTGATTTGTGGCTTTTAATGTGCGTTGTTTTGTCTTTGGCGTGTCTGACTGCATCCGTTATTTTGTTTATTTCATTTTCTATTTCTTGTTCGGTATTTATGTTATTTTTATGGCTATTTTACTGTCGAGTACTCTCCTAAATTCTTTCCTGTTGGTTGTTGAAAAGTCGTAATATTGTCCTTGTCTTGTTTGTGTTTTGTTTGTCGTTTTAATCTCTATGTATACGGGGTCATGGTCTGAGTTTAATGTGGGTATTGTTCGTATTGTTGTTATATTTGGTATGTTTTTTGTGATCGCGATGACTAGTGTACTCGGAGTCTGACCTGAGAAGGGGAAAAAAGTTGGTTCTTCTGAATAGTGAATGACTAGCTCGTAGTCTTCTGCGAATTTTTGTAGTGTGATCCCATTTGTATTATTTACTGTACAGTTTGAGTCCCAGTCAGAATGCTTAGAGTTAAGGTCCCCCAACAGGATGACCCTGTTCTCCAGCGACAAAAGCTCCCTGTATATTATTCTGTTGCGTGGTGCGTTGTATGCACCTATTATTATGAAGTTGTCTATTTTGATTATTAGATGTTCTATGTTACTTATGATATTAGGTAATATTTTAAAGTTTAATTTGTTTTTAATTATGAAGGCATGTGGCATTGTATTATTGTTCTAGTCGACTTTCTTAGTTCCCATATAATTCTTGTATATTGGACTACCCTTACGTTTTTATTGAGGTAGTCCAATTTAAGTGTGGGATCTGTTATTAATAGAAATATCGGGCGGTTCTTAGTTGTCATGTTATATATGTCTAGTGTTTATTTCATAGTTTTCTTGAAGGTCCTCTTGTATGTGTTCTATTTTGGTACCGCTCGGTACCGCTAGGCCTCTGAGCACAAAAGCATGTGATTTATCTTCAATGCTTGAGTATGTGTGGTGGGGTAGTTTGTCGGTCTTTGCTTTTTGTAGAAGTGTTTGATAATCGGCTAGTTCTGCGAAAACAATATTTGACGTGTTCGTATGTTTAATTGAGAATTTTCCCGTGAATATATTACGTAGCTCGTTTGTGAGGAGGTGATGATTTTCTGTCACTCCGTCGAGCACTATGGGTGGCATACTTGTCTTTTTGATGTTTTTTGAGGCTTTTTGTGTGTTGTTTGCGTTTACTACCACTTTCCTTGTGTCATTTTTCTGGAAGACTTTGTTTACTTCATCGATCTCTTTGTCGTAGTCAACTTCCATACCTGACGCTGTGGTGCTTTGGCTATTATCTACGTTATCTTGGGGGTTCGTCACATTTTCGGGTAGGTCGTCCATATGTGTTTGACCGTGGAGTTCATGCTGTTATCATCGGACGAGTCACTTGACTCGCTCAAGTCACCGTAGATAAGTCATTTAGAGGACGTTCCTCGATTTTTTTGAACAGGGGTTCCCCGTTTTGTGCCGCTGACCCCCGGGTTAGTGATAGTTAGTGGGACACTCAGTACTCGCAGTTTTGGTTGTGTTTATCTTCAGTTTGGCTTTAGATATAGTTCTAGTTGTTTTATGAGATTCTACTAGGTCTGACCGGTGTTTGTTCTGCCTTTTGGTGTGTTCCGTCTGGAAGCCAGTTGGCGATGTTGTGGCTGCCCTATCGGGCCCTGGCATGTACGGTTTCCCTGCTGGCGTTGCGGGATGTACGAAAGTAAACGTTAACGAATTTGAAATTTAAAGTTTGTTACAGATATTTTATGTTCAATGTCCCACCCTTTCGTTGTTACTCGTGTCTCGTGTAGTTTTACTTTTTACTGTTTCTTGAACGCGCTCTAAAGTCTATTCAGATTTCATTTACGCCGCGCCGCGTCAAAACAATTTCTCCCATCCAGCAACAGCTCACGTGACATTTTTTTGCGCTTCTATTGGTTAATCGGTCGTTAGTCATATTTAGACTTAGACGACGCGCAAATATTTTTTGTCAGAGTCGAATTCAGTTCAATTTGGATAATTATAAGCGGCGTTTTGGTAGCATTCACCGTGTTGGTTAGTTTGGACATTTTTTATGTTTGATTGATTATAATTCATTATATTATAGTTTAGATAAACATATATTGTGTTATTTATTTTTTTTGTTTTTGTGGTTGTTGTTAGTTTGAACATGTTTTACTCTATTTTATGGACATTTAATTGACTATATTTTGTAATTGCTGCGTGACACTATGCCCTTCACAGATACAGCAGATGAAGTCCAGAAAAATGTTTTTACTCCTTCTAAAAAGCGACTGAAAAAGGGACATTTGGTCATCCGTACTAAAGAAATGGTTCTTAATATTTATAAGCATTAAATTTTATAGATCCCTGATATGTTGGTACATGATGTTGAAAGGAGAGTTGCTGATAAAACAGGGATGTGCGCTAAAACCGTTTTTAATGTTATGAAGGAGTTATAGGCAGATTCATAAATTTTCTGAACCAAAAAGAAAGCTACGTTATAAACAAATTAGTAGCTCTGTGGATGATTTTGATAAAAATGCAATAAGGCGCAAAGTACATCAATTCTTCTTTAGAAATTAATTTCCAACAATTGATAAGGTTTTATAGGAAGTCAACGATGATCCATATTTGTCTACTTTTAAGCGAGCTACATTTTACAAGCTTTTCAAAACCCTTAATTTTAAATTTAAAACTCGAGGAAAAAATAGTTTGCTTTTAGACAAAAATGAAATTGTTTCGTCCTACGCAACAAAAAATAAAACGGTACAGAGAAGAAAAGCAAAAAATATATTATCTTGATGAGACTTGGATTAACGCAGGCCACACCAAATCAAAAGTATGTTTCGATATGTCGGTTTTTTCATCCAGACAAGCCTTTTTGGATGAACTTTTAACTGGTTTTAAAAACCCATCAGATATGTGCGTAAACACAGCTCATTATATGCCATATTGGAAGTGAAGAAGGCTTTGTCTCTAATGCACTTTATGTATTTGAGTTGAAAAATCCGGTGACTACCATGAAGAAATGTGTGGAGAATCGTTCAAAGAGTGGTTTTCGAGAAAGCTAGAAAAAATATCTACGACATCTAAAAAAGGTGATATTTAAAAATGGCTATAAGGGATAAAAATTGAATTCGACTACCAAATGCTTAAGATCCAACTTCTAAAACTTGGTAAGCAACATAAACATTATGATACTGATAGGTATGTAATAGATGAAATGGCTAAGCAGCAAAACAACATAATACTTCACATGTCTCCGTATCATTGTGAACTTAACCCTATTGAATTAATCTAGGTTGACGTTAAACAATACGTAGCAGATAAAAACTCAACATTTAAATCTGGAGACATTAAAATTCTTTTTGAAGAAGTAATATTATTAATTTCTCCAGAAAAATGGAAAAAGTGTATCGACCATGTTCGCCAAAAAGTTGAAGTAAAAATGTGGGAGTTGTATAATATTATAGAGGTTCAGGTAGAACCACTTGTAATTTTGATTAATGAAGATAGCCTTTCAAGTCTAACTAATTTATCCGATTCAGAATAATGCTAAGTCAAGTAAGGAAGATTGCTATAATACAGGGTACAAGTTGTCTAATCTAAATACTAGTAGAACAAGAACAATAAAGAACAAAAGTTATTAAAAATACAAAAGGTTTCTTTTTAAGATGCACAATTTTAATTTTTATTTATTTATTTTTATTTATTTATTTTAATTTATTTATTTTTATTTATTTTTATTTATTTTTATTTATTTTTATTTATTTTTATTTATTTTTATTTATTTTTATTTATTTTTATTTATTTTTATTTATTTTTATTTATTTTTATTTATTTTTATTTATTTTTATTTATTTTTATTTATTTTTATTTATTTTTATTTATTTTTATTTATTTTTATTTATTTTTATTTATTTTTATTTATTTTTATTTATTTTTATTTATTTTTATTTATTTTTATTTATTTTTATTTATTTTTATTTATTTTTATTTATTTTTATTTATTTTTATTTATTTTTATTTATTTTTATTTATTTTTATTTATTTTTATTTATTTTTATTTATTTTTATTTATTTTTATTTATTTTTATTTATTTTTATTTATTTTTATTTATTTTTATTTATTTTTATTTATTTTTATTTATTTTTATTTATTTTTATTTATTTTTATTTATTTTTATTTATTTTTATTTATTTTTATTTATTTTTATTTATTTTTATTTATTTTTATTTATTTTTATTTTTTATTTATTTTTATTTATTTTTATTTATTTTTATTTATTTTTATTTATTTTTATTTATTTTTATTTATTTTTATTTATTTTTATTTATTTTTATTTATTTTTATTTATTTTTATTTATTTTTATTTATTTTTATTTATTTTTATTTATTTTTATTTATTTTTATTTATTTTTATTTATTTTTATTTATTTTTATTTATTTTTATTTATTTTTATTTATTTTTATTTATTTTTATTTATTTTTATTTATTTTTATTTATTTTTATTTATTTTTATTTATTTTTATTTATTTTTATTTATTTTTATTTATTTTTATTTATTTTTATTTATTTTTATTTATTTTTATTTATTTTTATTTATTTTTATTTATTTTTATTTATTTTTATTTATTTTTATTTATTTTTATTTATTTTTATTTATTTTTATTTATTTTTATTTATTTTTATTTATTTTTATTTATTTTTATTTATTTTTATTTATTTTTATTTATTTTTATTTATTTTTATTTATTTTTATTTATTTTTATTTATTTTTATTTATTTTTATTTATTTTTATTTATTTTTATTTATTTTTATTTATTTTTATTTATTTTTATTTATTTTTATTTATTTTTATTTATTTTTATTTATTTTTATTTATTTTTATTTATTTTTATTTATTTTTATTTATTTTTATTTATTTTTATTTATTTTTATTTATTTTTATTTATTTTTATTTATTTTTATTTATTTTTATTTATTTTTATTTATTTTTATTTATTTTTATTTATTTTTATTTATTTTTATTTATTTTTATTTATTTTTATTTATTTTTATTTATTTTTATTTATTTTTATTTATTTTTATTTATTTTTATTTATTTTTATTTATTTTTATTTATTTTTATTTATTTTTATTTATTTTTATTTATTTTTATTTATTTTTATTTATTTTTATTTATTTTTATTTATTTTTATTTATTTTTATTTATTTTTATTTATTTTTATTTATTTTTATTTATTTTTATTTATTTTTATTTATTTTTATTTATTTTTATTTATTTTTATTTATTTATTTTTATTTATTTTTATTTATTTTTATTTATTTTTATTTATTTTTATTTATTTTTATTTATTTTTATTTATTTTTATTTATTTTTATTTATTTTTATTTATTTTTATTTATTTTTATTTATTTATTTATACTCCCATACAAACGTTTCCTCCCTTAAAATAAAAGCATTCTAAAACCTTGTATTACGTCATCATTTATTTATGATAAGTAGCTAGATTTCCAATTTTCGAGTTCCTACCTTTAAAAAAATCTATACTCCTATACAAACGTTCACCCCCCCAGTTTACCCCGTTAAAATGTAAAAATCCAAAACATTGTATTACGTCATCATTTGTTTATAATGAGTAGGTAGATTTCCAATTTTCAAGTTCCTGCCGTTAAATAATTCGATACTACCTTCAAACTTTCTCCCCCCGTTTCCGCCCCTTATAATGTGATGTTTATAAAATCCGTTCTTAGTGGGTGTCTACGTCGAAATTAGACGTTCATGTTTTAACAGCGTAATCTACATTCTAAAATAGGAGTAAAAGTTTATACAGGGTGTAACTAAATAAGTGTAAAACATTTAAGGGGGTGATTCCTCATCGAAAAAAAGATAGGATCTTTCATATAAAGAAACTTCATTGGAGCATCCCTTGTTAAGATACATCCCCTTAAAGGGGGTACATAAAATTTGTTTAACAATTTTTTTCACAAGCACTAAACAAGTTACAATATTGAAATTAACCTGATATTTTCTACTACCCAAAAGACACTTAGCCAGTAATTTATTTGGTTTACCCCCTAATAGCAGCCTACTAGATAAATTAGTTTCGTATTTTCGTTTTATGGCGATATCTATCTTGTTCGTAAAATAATTTTTTGCTGCGAACTGGTTTATTTTGGGCAAAAAATTCAAGATACATTTTATGTTTAGAATGAAACAGGCTATCGGAAATAAATGGTACACAAATAATTAGACAAAAAGTTACGTTGGAACGAAATTTTAGGGTTGCGTTTTCCACCCCTTACAACCATGGGGTAAACCAAATAAATTACTGGGTAAGTGTCTTTTTTGGTAGTAGAAAATGACAGGTTAATTTCAATATTGTAACTTGTTTAGTGCTTGTGAAAAAAATTGTTAAACAAATTTTATGTACCCCCTTTAAGGGGCTGTATCTTAACAAGGGATGCTCCAATGAATTTTCTTTATATGAAAGATCCTATCTTTTTTTCGATGAGGAATCACCCCCTTAAATGTTTTACACTTATTTAGTTACACCCTGTATAAACATAGGTCCGAAAATGTTTTGTTTCCGAGATACAGGGTGTTAAAAGTGAAGTCCTGATGACACAGTCTTGTACTTTCTAAACTTTTAAAGATAACTAAGTGAAATTTGGTACAAATGCTTAACTTTTTTCGCTCTATTTAATGGACTAAACGCCAGTATTGATCATCTTCATAGTTGGGTAAATTAAGGGAGGGGCTTAGGGTTAAATTGTCCTAAGTTTTTTGTTGACTGATTTTAAAATTTTTGACTACAAAATTTGAAAAACCAATATATTCTTTATAATAAAGCTGTTTTTGTTGTATCTCGCTAGGACGCACCATTTTCAAGAGAAAAGCATTTGAAAATTTCATGATAAGTTGTTATCTTATTCGAAAGTGTAAACAATAATTAGTAGGCCTGTGGAATCAGAAATTTGATTTTTTTTTTACTTTTGGAAAACCGGTGACTAAAGAAATTTTAGAAAATATTTACAAAAATGTGCCATCAGGACTTCACTTTTAACACCCTGTATCTCGAAAACGAAACGTTTTAGCACGTATGTTTTTATGAACTTTTACTTCTAATTTAGGATGTAGATTACGCTGTTAAAATATGACCGTCTAATTTCGGGACACCTTGTATACAGAAAAACATCACATCACTATTCTTTCAATGCTGCACTTTTGTTGTTTATGAAAATTGTTTAAATATAAATATATTTTTACAATATTAGAAACTCATGATTCAAAAGAATTATAATTCAGCTAGTTATTCAAATATTAAAGGAAATCTAGAAAAAAAAATAAACAACTAAAAAGTAATTATAATTACAAAAGAGTACATTTAACTCCACCTATAATGAGCATAAGCTCTGTTTGCCTCACATTGTCTATGAAGATCTTGTTTTTTCTTTATGACTCTACCAGTATTATTTGCTGCATCTATAAGTTCTCTTGCTAATTGTAAATTGAATCTTACAGTACTTTCTTTTTCTTGACCTGCTGCTATTAGCCATTTCATTGATATAAACTGTGCTTTTTTATCAGTTATTGGCACAGGTACCTAAATATAAAAAATTATTACTAAGACTAAGTTTATTTTTAAATTAATCAGTTTAATGTCAGATGTTGTATGGAATAGGGCATAAATTATGAATTTGTAAAGACATAAAGATGATTAATTCATAAGAGTAGCCTCAGGCTAAATCTCGCCGAACGGATTGTACCATATTTTCGTTTGTACAAATTAAAACAGTTATTATTAATTAAAATTAAAAAAAATTATTATTAAGAATAAGTTTACCCACAAAGCACATAGAGGTTCCACGTGAATGACCAAGGTCAAAACCGACAAATGACATTTCTTATGCTATTGACTCCAAACTCTAGATGGGGCTACTGGTGAAATTATGATTTCTTCCTCCATTTTTATTTTTATGGGTAAAAAACTTAACCAAACAACCAAAGAATTCAAAGATATAAGTGATCTGTAAAAGATATGACGTGTATTTATGTTTTGGGTTATTTTCTCAGTTTTCCGTTTGATTTTAGTAATTTTCTGTTGGCTTTGGCTTTTGGTTTCTCCGTTTATAGTTTCTTCTTAGTTATTTGCAAAATTGTGATGATTTGTTTTTTTTCTGTTTCCTACTCTGTTTTGCAATAACTTTGGTGCTACGTTGAAAACTTCGAGAAAAACTTCATTGATTCACCATGCATCATAAAAAAACGGCTACAACTAATTGATAATCAATTTATCACTGGACTAGATTCCGAAATCATTTTTCACATAAGAGAGTATACATACCGCCATATGTATTTGGAAGGAAAATATTTATCATTGAATATATAGTTTAAAGGATTCACCTTTTAATCCAATACCTATATTACATTTTGTCCTCGGTTAAAAAGACATTTATAAAATATATTACTTTAGTGTTATTAAAATGTAATATCCTAGTCTCTACTTCACATTTAAATATATTGATATTTTAAAGATTTGAGATAGACCTTTTCATCACAATTTTTTTTTGTGCGCATGCGTCAGTATCTGCCATCTTTTTCGTACTGTTTTTGTAAACAAGCATGTTAAAATGCCCAAGTGAAAAAAATTATAATCGATAAATAGTAATTTAAGTACTTTTATTCATTTACAAAAGGAAGAAAAAGTAAAGTAATAATAAGTTTAGTGTCTTAATTGAAAAATACATGTTTGCAATCAATTATAATTATGTTATCTGTATGGAAAGGAACAACGAAACGGTGTTGTTGTGTAAAAGTGACACACGGTATATTCATTCAAAGGCAATACATATTATTTTATAAATTTTCCAAAGCCTTGGCTGCAAAATCCATATAAAAAATAGGCAAAATGTGCATTAGGTGTAAAAAAATATGGACGAAGTGACAACGGTTTTCGATGGATTAATGATGTTACTAAAGATAGTTATATTTGTTCACTGCATTTTCATGGAGAAAGTGGCCCAACAGAAAAAAATTCTTATCTGGTATTAAACAATATTTTTTTAATATTAAATACTACTTCAGTATACATAGTAATATGATTAAAAATGTCATGTTGATCCTCAAAATATTAAATAATTTATTTTATAAATTATACTCGTGATTAACTTTCATGTTAATTAAAGTGTTTTTGCAAGTAATAATAGTCGGTTGGCATAATTAATTAGAATAGAGTTATAATTAATTTGTTTTCATTAATTTTTTACACAGTTAAGAAGTATTGATACACCTAACCTCTCAATCAGTCCACTTTGTTCCTTTGTAACAAACGTCCAAGACACTTCAACCACCTTTTCAACTGCTCACAACTATGCGCTTCCATAGAGTTTTAAAAAAGTTAATCACAATCAACCATTTTTTCTAATGATTAATTTTTCTGTAGAGATAATATTGCTTTTCCAGCCATTGTCGATCAAAACAGTACGAAACTTTTGAATTACCGCTATTTCAACATGGTGGCTGCGCTTGCGCTCATCACATGATGAAAAGGTCTATTGTATACATATTTGCTCCAAGTAAGTATTCGTTAAATATTGTAACTTTAACTTTTCATTAAACTAAACTGCTACTAGAAGACTCCAGATGCTCCCGAAAATTCCACCTCTGACTCAACGGCACTCACTGTCCGTTCTAGTCATGTATAGTGCATTAGCGGCATTCCTGAACGTTCCGTCGCCTCGAGCACGAGTCGGTTGCCATCTGAAGGTCGCGCTCGCTTTAGGCACAGGGTCGGATAGGAATTTCATGACATTGCCTCCTCCTTAAGAAATAGTTCCTCCTGGAACTAAAACTGAATGGTTATATTTGCAACTGGATCCTCTTTTACAATTTCCAGTTGCATGGAAGTAACAAGGGACAGTCTTCGTTATAACCTAAACGCTGGAACAAAATACCTGCAGACCAGTATTTCAACCTGGGTATCTTGGAAGAATACTTCCATCGTGTTTCTAATGATCCTCCAATTCAGCTGGTTGCTATCTATCTTTGGCATACCAAGTTTCTGTACATTGGACTCCAGTACATGCTCCCTCAGACTGAGTAATGCTTCCCATACATTATGATAGGTGAATCGATCTCGGAAGGTGTTCTTTGTTACCAAATAGAAAAGATAACGCGATCCATCTTGAAGTTTTAATGCTCTTCCAGGGGCTGGTAACTGATCTTGAAGTTCTGGAAATCGACCAAACTTCTTCCGGAATACAGATGCCAGACCTCGAGCGACGTAGATGTTGGCGGAGGTGCTATGGACCAGCGAGTAATCTTTAGGAACCGTGAGCAGGTCTTGTTGTTGCTCGGTTGTAACACCATATCCTGCTTTTCCAGTACCTCCATATGCACCCATGTTGTAGACAGGGTTTGCTCCGCGCCACACATTGCCCCTCCTCAAGGAATAGTTCCTCCTGGAACTAAACTGAATGTTGTACCTATCTGCAACTGGATCCTCTTTTCAATTTCCGGTTGAGTGGAAGTAACAAGGGACTGTCTTCGCTGTAACCTGGACACTGGGGCGAATAGCTGCAGACCAGTATTTAGACTCCGGTATCTTGAAAGATTACTTTCACCATGTTCCTAATGATCCTCCAATCCAGCTGATTTCCTTCTATCTTCGACATGGCTAGTTTATGTACATTGGACTCCAGTATACATGCTCTCTCAGACTGAGTAATGCTTCCCATATATCCTGATAGGTGGATCGATCTCGGAAGGTGTTCTTATTGTTACCAAATGGAAAAGATAACGCGATCCATCTTGAAGTTTCAATGCTTTTCCAGGGACTGGTAACTGATCTTGAAGTTCTGGCAACCGACCAAACTTCTTCCGGAATACAAATGCCAGACCTCGAACGTCGTACATGTTGGCGGGTGCTATGGACCAGCAAGTAATCTTAAGGAACCGTGAGCATGTCTTGTTGTTGCTCGGTTGTAACACCATGTCTTGCTTTTCCAGTACCTCCTTATGCATCCATAAATTCTTCAAAGACAAGGTCAGGTGTTTCTTGGAGCTGGTTTACTTCTTCCTCTTCATGGTCACCCTCAAATGGCGCCAGCCGGTTTTGGTGCACTACCTTTGGTTTACCGTTCGGGATCTTACTTATACGGTAAATGACATCATTGATTTTTTTCTTGATGAGGTACGGACCTTCCCAAGACCTTTGAAGCTTTGGAGAATAACCCTTTTGTCTTTTGGGTTATGGAGCCAGATTTTGTCGCCTTCCTTGAAACATCCTTCTGTGGTTTGGGTATCGTATCGCTTCTTCATTCTGTCGCTGGCGATTTGAAGATGCGAGCGGACCAGTTCATGCATACCGTCCATTTTTCTTCGTAACTGGATCACATAATCCTCACCAGCTACATCTTCTTCAGGTCGGCATCCAAACTCAAGGTCGCACGGTAGTCTCATCTCACGCCCAAACAGGACCTTTGCTGGTGTTTGGACTGTTGATTCATTGACAGCGGATCTAAAAGCCATTGCAAAGAGCGAAAGATACTGATCCCAATCTCGCTGATGGTTTTAAACTACTTTTGACAGATATTTGCCAATGGTCTTATTCATTTGCTCTACCATTCCATCAGATTGTGGGTGCAATGCTGTGGTTCTAGTTTTCTTCATGCCTAGCCTGTCACAGATTCCACGGAAGAGTTGGCTTACAAAATTTCTGCCTTGGTCACTGTGTATCTCCAAGGGCACTCCAAATCGACAAATAAACTCTTTTATCAACACATCTGCAACAGTTACGGCCTCTTGATTTGGAATGGCGTAGACTCCCATCCACTTCGTGAAATAATCCATAACCACCATCATGTATTTATTACCATTCTCGGTCGTAGGGAATGGTCCAGGAATATCTAAGGCGATCCTCTCAAATGGGCTACCAACGTTGTATTGCTTCATGGGAGCCTTCCTTTTTTGCTGAGATCCATTACTCATAGAAGAGCTGGTACATTTCTTACACCAGTCCTTAATTAACATCATCAGAACTGTTCATCCAATAAAACCTTTCCCGAACTCTCTGAAGGGTTTTCCTAACACCGAGATGTCCTCCTGATGGACTGTCGTGTAACTGACGAAGTACTTCGGCTTCTCTACTCCTTGGAATGACCAACTGTCTTCTGTTCTCGGAACCATCATCATTTTCAAGTACTCGCTTTAATAAGCCGTATTCCAGGATAAAGGAGTCCCACTGAGCCCAATATGATTTAACTACGGGAGAGAGTTTCGATACTTCTTGCCAAGTAGGACGACGATTTTCCTCTTTCCATTCTCTTATCTTCTTTAAAACGGGATCGTTCTCTTGTTCTTCTCTAAGTTTGACAGGGGCCCACTCATCGCTGACAACCGACGTTCTTCGTACTGTAACTTCTTTAACAGATGTGGCCAACCCCTTTCCAATCAAAGTTCCTTGACCAACACCTTCATTGCGCTTCGAAGGTTCCGCCATGACAGGCGTTGCTTTCTCTACAGTTCCTTGCAACCGCCTTACTATTATGGTTTCACTACTTTCAGGTAACACTGTTCCTTCCTGTACAGTCACCGGCACGGTTT